GGCCGCGCGCGGAGCAGCTGCTGCGCTCGCTGAGCCCTGTCTCCAGGTACCCTAGAGGAAAAAGCTTTCACTGTTACAACAGGGACATGCTTGGATGGATTTCAAAAACACCTAAAAGGCCCTCAAAGGCCGGTGCGTCAGTAAGAGACGTTTATCCCTGTGCTGTGCACCAAGGACACCGCGACCGCGTGCGCAGCCCGTGCGGGCGGCAGGGTCCCCGCTGCGGGGCTCTCCGAGCGCCGGGGCCTTGGCGGTGCCCCCAGCAGCACCGCATTCGCAGCCGAGCGCGCGCGGAGGCTCCCAGCGAAAAGCGGCTCCCGTTCCCCGGCACCCCCGCTCCCAAAAAACCCGCACCCACGGCCACCACCAGAGCTGCCACCGAAGGGACGAGCGGCCGCAGCTCCTGTGCGCCGTGTGGGAGAGCTAAGGGCCACCCACCCCACCGTGCTGCACCTTGCAGCAGCCAGATGTACATTAATTTTTGCATTTTCTAACCTTTTATCGGTCAGGGGGCTTTTCAAGCGAAAAGCTTTAGTCCTTGAGGAGCAGGTGCCCCTTTTCCATGTCTCCCTGACTCTGTGCCACCTAATCAAGAAAGAAAATCAAACAGGATTTGCAATGCAGGCAAGCCGTAGCCCTGCAGGGGATTAACTGTGTTCTGCTCTGTGCTCAGCAGTTCCCAATTCCTGCTTCCTTGCTGTCCTGCTGGCGAGCTGCCCCACAGCTTCCCCTTCACCGCAGGGAGCCGACGCGGCGCTCCAGCCGCGCGCGCCCACGCACGCAGTTATTTTCCCTCGCGTGCAGCACTTGACACCTCTCTGCACTTGACTCTGCTTTGTCTTACTACACGCAGGGCCACTCAGCAGCGCAGACACAGACGCGCGTCCAACACGCAGCCACGCAGGGCGCGCGCCCCTGCGATCCGCACACATCCACGCTGCCCGTGGAAAATTTGTTGTCTGCATCCAATTCCTCTACCTGCCAATTTTAGCAGTTTGATCTCCATCAGCTCTTCAGCTTTCACTGCAAGCTTCACACATTTCCTTTCTTGGCTTTGCTGCTTTTTTCCAACTCAGCCTTCAGGCCTAGACTTTCATTTTCATTTTCAGTCGCTTTTTTCCTACATGTTCTGGTTTCCCCCCTCCTGGGACTCGCAGCTGCTTGCACTTGCCAGGACCACCCTCCCAATAGCCCTTCTTTTTCTCCCGTAACACACCTGTGCTTGAGGATCTTGTTGTCGCCCCGCTGTGTCCGAGGGCTCTCCCGCCCCGCGGCCACCGCAGACGTCCCCTTCCCACGCAGCCCGTGCCGAGGACTGCCAAAGCCAAGTGTGCCGGGGCCTTGGAAACGCAACCCGGCCACGGCCCCTTCCACCCGATAACCCGTGTCACACCTTGGCCGTGCTGGGCTACCCCCTGGTCAGACCTTGGTCATACCCTGGTGACGCCGCAGGCCATCGCGCCGGCCTCGCAGGATCACACCCGCAGTGGGCTCCGTTAAACCTCTGCGCACAGATCGCTCCAACCCAACGGCAGCCATTCAGAGCCTCGTGTTTCTCCAAGCCGAGGGGCTCTCCAGGGCCCCGCGGCAGCGAGCGCCCCAGCGGCCGGCTCGGCACCCGGAGCGGAGCAGCCCATATGCCGCAGGTCACGGGCAGGGCAAAACACTTCAGTGGAGATGAACAAAATGCCAAGCCCCAATCTGCTGATGAATGACCCACCGTGGTGCGAGCGCTTCCAGGGAAGGCGAGCGGAGAGGCGGCTCAGCCCTCGGCATCTTTGTTGGCAAATTACCACCCTTCGGATCAATCGATTCTCAATTATGCACATCCCGGTACCCCAGATCCTGCACGGCCTTTTCTTTGCTGCAATTGTTTGCATTTACATAATGAAAGTGCAAAGCACAAAACCTTCCAGTTCCTCTGTGCGCCCACAGCATGTCACAGCCCATTAATAAATTCGGGATGGGAGGAATTAAAAGTGACATCTCTGGAAAAAAATGTTACTCTAATTTGCCATCAAAGAGCAATCTACAGCAAAACCAAACAGCTGAACCCCAACTGCAGACGCCCTTAACCCTCGCGCCGCGGAACAGGAGCCCTGCACCGCGATGCCTCTGTGCCCTGCACGGGCCTGAACCCAAACACTGCCAAAACACTGCAGGGAAACAGGAAGAGCTGCTGCAGATCCGTGCACAAGAGGATAAAGCAACGACCTGCCTGTCCCCAGGAGCGTCGGCCTCCCTAGCCGCATTAGGGCAAAGATGGCACAAAACAAGCCTTAGCAGTGATTTAGCTGATCATTATTTCCATGAACACCACGTGAGTCCTGCCACAATGCCAACCTCCGGGGACGGGCGCAGGGAAACCGCGGATCCGCGCAGCCCATCCGCGCAGCCCCTTCCGAGGAGAGGCAGGGGCTGCCCCGGGCGGCCGCAGCGGCCTCCGCGTCACGGGCGGCTCACGGGGAGGCAGGAGCGAGGAGGGGGATCTCCATAAAATAAAAGCATCTTGTCTTAAAGCTAAACTCGAATTCAGAAAGGAAGGGGGAGGAAGCAAACACAAAGAAATAAGCCCACTGAATGCAAGAAATCTTCCATCATCTTGTCTTGGTGGACTGACTTATGGGGAAAATTCCTGAAATGTTGTATTTATGCCCTTGCCCGAATGCCCTGAATTGGATGTGTCCTACTGGAGTTTAAAGTGACATACACCACGCAGGGTCTCAGGAGAGGCATGCAGAGAGTCTCACTGTGCAGCTCAACACAGGTTCCACAGAAAAATGCACATAGCAGGGAGACACTGACACTGAATTAGAACAGACTTAACCAATAAATCTCAACCCGCCCAACTCCTGGAGGCCACAGGGAAGGGGAAAGGGACACTATCCCATATCAGATCAGCAACCCAAATCTCGTCTTAAGGTTTAATTTCTAGGTCAAATCCATAGAGGCTCTGCCCATGAAACTATCACATTAAGTTTGCTCTCTAGTTAACTAAAACTTTAACGTGTTTTTTGCACGTTTCTACTATTCAGAAAATGAACTATTGCGATAGCAATAGATCCAAGAAGGACAGAGACAGAGAAAAGGCCCATCCAGCCCGGGCAGTGTCACCAGGGCCACCGTGAACAGGTGCCTAGGAGAGGAGGGAGGGTCAAGGACAAGTGACCCGTCCCTGGGCACATCGGGGCTTCCAGGGATTCCCAGCTCCAACCTGCAGCCGTGAGCGGCTGTGGGAAGGTAACTCCTTCCACAGGACCTTTGTCCAACTGCTTCAAGACCCGAGCTACACACTTGGCATTCAAAATCATCCTGGGACAAAACCCGGCCATCCACAGTGCTCTGCTATAATACAATGTGTATGTAATACTAATGATGAAAAAAAAAGTACTTTCCTTTTTACCTTTTCTTTCAGTCTGGTGCCTGCTGACATCCACAGCTTACACTGTATCAGCAAAACTGGAGTCCTGGCCTCTGTTCTCTTTCTACAAACTGCTCGTGACCCTTTGGAGCGTTGCCGACCGCGTGGCCCGTTCTGCAGAGGAGCAGCCTGCCCGGCTGCAGGACCCACCTCCCCTGGGACTGCGGGGTCCCCGCGAGGCTCCGATGCCATTCCCAGCCTCAGGAACTCCGAATAACTCTGCATCATGCGGACTCTGTCAGCTCACTACTCATCTCTCTTCCAAATGACCCATTAAGAACTGCTCTGCTACTCCCTTTGCTTTGCTTCCTGTCCTTCAGCCAGTCATTAATCCCCATAACTACTCATTCCTCAACAGTTTCTTTGCTTTAACAACTTTAGGGAAGTCCCTTTTCCAAAGGCTTTAAGTCATTGAAGATATCATGGCCACTCACCCCCCTGATCGCTGACTCCTCTGAAAAGGACATTAGATTTCCCAGGCAGGATTTTTCTCTTCAGAAAGCTCCACTGATTCTTCCCTTTAGCTGCCTGAACGTCTGCTAGTTCTGCTCTTACCAAAGCCTGCCCTAACAGCCTGTTTTTAAGTCAAATGTGCTGATCAGAGCTCTGAAAAGCCCTTCAGGAGTCTTTAAAAAAAGGCACTGCACTTTCCACCTTCCATTTCTCCGGCACCCACGGCAATTTAAGCACTACGTTACGCATCATGGCCAGTCATTTGAGCATTTTCTATCTCAGTTTCTTGAACACTGCTGTGTCAGTATTATCTGGAAGGCAGGATAAACGGCAACGTGAGCACGGATCTGCTCCAAAACGGCTACTGACAACTCAGCTGGAGCAGATTCTCCAGGCCGGCTCCCCCCAAAAGCAAATGTCCAGCCCAAGCTTTTCCATAACAAATGCTGGGATAAACGATTCAGATATTTGCCATCACATCTCATTCTTTTTTTGCCCCTCAGCCCCCTTCTCATTCCACGCCCACTTTCTTTCCTGGTATTTTGGGCAGTTTTTGCTTGCTTTCATGCTTTTAGCGAGTTGACCCTGAAAACCTCCCTGGCTCTAACTGTTCCGGGTTTGGACATTTTCCCTTCCCGGAGCTCCAGCTGCTCACGGGCACGACGAGCTCCATCCAGAGAGGCCGGGGCGCGTTTGGCGTCTGCATTTGCACCAAGACACTTCAGATATTGTTTTATAACCCCTGCACACTCCCACAACAACAACACGGCTAAGCTCAGTGCCAGGGCTCTAAGCGCCCAGGAGACACTTCCACCCTCAAACAGCCTCCGCTTTGTGCGGAAAGGCACAGGAAATTCCCGGGTTTTGAGGAAACCCTACGGACGGGGCCTGGCTGAGCAGAAGCCCATTCATTACCTTTTTAAAGAGCCTGATGACATCCTCGCTGATCTGCGAGAGCCGCACGATGACATTGTTCATGAAGATGTCGTTGAGCGTGGCGTGATCCCTGCTCTCCCGCCGGGTCTGCGTCAGGACCAGGTACCAGCAGTTCACGGGGGAAAGCAGGTGCTGGTCCTTCCTGCGGAAACGGGAAGAAAAGTCCAAAAGGCCCCGTGAAACACTGAGGAAGCGGACCGGGGCATTGCACAGCTCTTTGCACTGCAGCACGGCTGCCCTCGGGCTCACGGGACGGGTTTGCACAGCCGCTTGCAGCAGACGCAGGGAATTCGGTTCCTCGCGACCCGGATGGGGTCTGCAGCGGGGCTCGGGGTCGAATGTGCTGGCCACGGCACAGCAAACACGTAACGGGCACTGTGCTTACCCAGACCAGGAATGATCTATCCTGAACGGGGCGGCACGGCCAGCGCGTCCCAGCTGCGCTGGCCCCTTCGAGCCGCACTCTCCAGTGCTGCTGTGGGGGAACAACCTGCTTTTCTTTAAGCTCCATCTCCTCCCGTGTCGCACCGAGACCTGCTTTTATGAAACAACAAAATCTCCATCCCTGTAGGGCAAGGAGACACGAGCACGTTCTCCTGGAGGAAAAGAGGGCATTTTTTCCCAATTCGTACAGCACATGTTCGTATGAGCTTCTGGCCTCTAGGGCCTCAGATGCTTTGTTGGACTCGCTCAGTTAAAGCAGATTTACAGTCCCAGAAGTTAGAGTTTTAGGATGTAACATGAAAGGCTAATACAGAAAAACAGGAGGAGCTCAGCAGTGAATTGCTTCTGGCGCTGGCATCTGTGTCACAGTTGGGAGACAAAACAGGGAGCGATCGGCAGCGGCCACCGGGAGAGCAGGAGCTGCGGGAAGGGCAGCCCCAGCTCTGCAGCGCCGGGGGCTGCCCGGGCCCGCGGCCTCCCCCGGAGCCGGCGCAGGGCGAGCAGGGAACGGGCCCTTCCCCGGGATGAGACGGAGAATCAGGACGGCACGGGAAGAAGCAACAGCAAACCAGACAGACAGCACGTAAAGAAAACAGCTTGATTTGGTTACGTCCATTTTCCACTCTCTCTGCGGATTCCTCATATTTAATAATATATTATTGCAATCAATATAACATAATGATCTATCACATCCATTTAAAAACTGATGGAGGTGTTTGGAAGCTCAGTGCTGAGGGAGCATCCCAGGCCCCGCCGCAGCCCGGGGAGGCGGCGCGGCAGCGGGCGCCGCGGGCACCGCCGCGCTCCCACCGACCGCACACGAGAACGGCAACGCAGCAAAACTGTGACCAGAAGGGGCTAAAAGGTCGAGAGGGTCCCCTAGGCTAGGCCAGGGAAGCAAGGAACGCCTTCCATCGCTGCGGATCCCTGCAGCTCAGCACTGGCTTTTTGCCCTCCTTTTCTCCTCGCTCCGTTCTATCAACGTGGTTGCGCTTGGCTTTTGGCAAAGAGCCCGCGGCCGCGCAAGCTGCGATGCTGCGTTTTGTCCACTGAGCTGCACGGGAGGCAATCTGCCTGCTGAAGCGCCTCGGCTGTTCCCCGCGCTGACACGCCAAGCCTGGGCCCAACATGGGTTTCCTACGTGTTCTGGGCTCTCCACCCAACGCACGGGCAGACACGGGGACCGCGGCGCGGGGCTGCCCAGGCCGCGGGAGAAGCCCCTGGAGCCCCCGTGTCACCAGAGCGGGGGCCTGGCCACGCTCGCCCGCTTGGACTGCAACACCTGGAACGCTGACGGCAGAGGGACTCAGAAAAACCGCCTTTTGAGGGCAATTTCCATGAGAAAGGGCAATGAGAAGCGGACGCCACAGCACGGGCATTCCCAAGGCAGCCGGGGAGCGCAGCGCGCCGGAGCCCGCGGCAGCGCGGGCAGGAGGCCTTTGGAGAGGCGGCTCCCGCGGAGCGGGACGGGGAGGGCGCAGCGAGGCGGGTGCCATCACCACCCGCGGCGTCAGTGCCACTCGGAGCCCTGGGCACGGGGTGTT